CAGACGCTAGCTCGCTACGCTTCCGTACAGGGTTCCATGCCATCCCAAGTATGAGGTAAGTCATAACTGTTAGAATGGTGCTGTCACTGAAGGACCTGTTGGACGTGTTCTCTTCATTTCTATCTAAAAATGAAAATCACCCTAACAGACCACACTTGTTTTTTAATACAAAACTATGTATGTTTTACATTACTGACAGCTATTTTTTTAAAGTAAATTTAGGTTTTAAATCAATAAACGTACAATATTTTTCTATGTTCCAGGTTTCTCATTGTTTTGAGTTAAAGATAGTTCACTATATACATGTATTGACTTGAATCTTGCTTTATATTGGCAATGCATCTTGCTAGACATGCTACAATTTTTGTTTCAAATAAGAAGCAGTGTTTTAGAAGAAATGTTTGCTTGTAGTATGTGTTCTAAGTATGATACAGTTACTCAACTAAGATTCAAATATCATGCATCACAGAAAAGATTTTAAAGCGCCTCCTGTGTACTTGAATGTTAAACACTCAATTATCCACCTTGGACTTAACATTTTTGCCAGTCTAATATTTATTTATTTATATTTTCCTTTTATTTGACTTATGGCCTTTTCATTTGTGTTTTAATGCTATCTGTATGTGTTTCTATTCTATTATTCCTGCTTGGTTTTAATGCATTATATAAACATCTTTAAATTGTATTTTTTGTATGAAATGTGCTACAAACTTTAACAAATCTTGTGTATGTTCTCTTTTACAGTCACGTTCATCTTCATGTGATCAGCCAAGACTTTGACTCTCCCTGTTTGAAGAACAAAAAGCACTGGAACTCATTCACAACTGACTATTTCATTGAGTCTCATGGTGAGAGCAAATTCGACCTGTTTTTGGTGTTTTACCTGAAGATTTGCAGTGGTTCACTTTGTCCATTACTGCAAATAATGTAACACACTTCTCTTTATCTGCAGATGTCATTCAGATGCTTGAAACAAATGGAGTGGTCACTGTCAAAGAAGACGCCAGTGAGCTGCTAAAACTACCTCTCCGCTGTCATGTGTGTTGCAAAGAGCTTCCAACTATACCAGCTCTGAAAGAACACCTAAAATCTCACTTTCCCAGATAAGCATGAGACCTTAAAGAAGATTCAATGCCTCAGATGTTCACTGTGGGTGTTGAATAGTTTTGTTTGTTAATTCTGGCTTATACTTTTATAAGGCATTGAACATGTTTCATTGACTGTTGTAATTATGTGACCAGAGCAATGTTCATCTATTGAGTTTTTAATTCATAATTTGTCAGTAGGTTTATGAGAAGGGTCACTGCAAAGATTCATGTTGGACATTGCTAGATGTCAGGAAAGGGAAGTCCTGAGATTTCATTTGTTGTTTATACCTTTAAATATGGTGTGTGAATATTTTGTAAGAACTTTTTATTTTCCATTTAAAAATAAAAGAAAACAAAGGTTTGTTACAGAACTGCTTTTGATTAATTTCAGATTAAAGAGAAAAGGAGGCAGAATGGTTATTTCCTGTAGTAGTCAGTGAAGTTTGGAGCCTCCTGTATGCTATCTGTCACAGAAATGAAACAAGTTATAGTTGTTGCCACAGCAATTGGTTTCAAATTCAGCTATAGGATTATCTTTGGTGATTCTGATTTCATGTCATTTAGAGCTGGAGTTGAACATGGCAACTACTTTTTAATTTATGTTCTATTTAACCTTTATTTTACGAGGGTGAGTCCCATTTCTCCAGGGAGCCCTGGAACACAACACTTTTTTTTTTGTATATTTACATGAGTGGAAATAGAAATGTGGTGACTGAGTGGAGTGCTGTGGAGAATTAACATCTCTTACTCTGTTATACAAGCCAGTATTTAGTGCATGTACTGAAGATACACAGTTGGAGCATTATCAGAAGTTAATTAAATCAGTGTGTAAGATAATACTGCTTGCTGCTAGATCAAGAGGCCATGCCTTCTATGATATTTTTTTAAATTATTGCCAGGCAGGTTTTTACCATATTATGACTGAATCTTGCTCAGTCACATACTGTAATACTTGACAATGTCAAGTTGACATTGTGTGAAAAAAGGTGTCACCCATACACAGGTGTTTCTGATTACTGATGCTGACTAGTCCTCTGAGGACAGTGTGGCTGTTAACAGACTTTGCTTAATTGACATCTTTCTCTTACCCTTCTTAATACTGCTTATAGGCTGCCTTTGTCATTATGATGACATTTTGTAAAACCAAGAAAATGACAATGTCATAGTTGTGCTAATCTGAAGAGCCTTACCTGTCAGCCAGAACGTGAAAACACCAGTCGGGGCTTGCAGGGCAGTAACCACCGCGGCATCAGCTGTTGACTTTGTCGCCATCTAGTGTTGAATGTTTATAACAGCATGGTCTTGCGGAGCTTTGACTTAAATAAATAATAAGCCATTTTTTGTGTTGAACACAGTTTGAGAATTATTTTTTTAAAATCTTGGAACACAACAGGTTATCTTGAATATAAGTGTGTTGGTAGTATGACAAAGGCAAACAGCTGGAACTGGCATTCACGCCATTGGCTGAGTGTTAATCATGTGATTGCAGTTGTATCATGCACGCGCGCTCTTACTAGTAGCCTATTATTTTGTTTTACATTGTGCTGCACAACGTTTCATCACTGTTAAACAGTCGGGTATTACCATTGAATGTGGTGTATTATTGTTAGGGGTTCTTTCTCGGTACACGTGCGAGTGATATCATGAGCATTCACAGTTGTTAGCGAAGTGATATTTTGGTATTTAGTATAAAGATTTAGTCATAAAGTAACAAATTCCCATTAAAATCTCAAAATATATCTTAAGTCTAGACTGATCAATCATTAAAAATCTATGACAGATGACTCGGTTATCCACGTACAAAGAATCGAACCCTGCTCCTTCATGAAGCACTTACAGCGAGCATACAGTTTGGTGTGCTGCTAGCAGGATATGTAAAAACACTGATCAGAGGAGAAAACATTTATGTGGCCCGTACGGGGATCGAACCCGCGACCTTGGCGTTATTAGCACCACGCTCTAACCAACTGAGCTAACCGGCCATGTTGACGAGTGTCGTTGAGCGATATATTCTACTAAATGTAGCTATGCAATGAATATTAGGTTACCATTAGGTGTTATACTTTTCAAATAAGCTGAGGAACAAAAAATCAACTGGACTTGGTTTTGGGTAGAAGACATTTCACCTCTCAGCCAAGGGGTTTCATCAGTTCTTTCCGACTGTGCTCTGTTGAGCACGAGATATTTATCGCCATGGGTGGTGCTTCAGTCTTTTGGTAGCCAGCAATGGCCTCTAACGACTGAGTCGTTATAGCCCGGTATCGGTGAGCGTCATACCGGTTTTTGAACCTTCACATGTGGCCCGACGCCTCTTGTCCTGGTGTGAATTAGGGTGGGAATGTTGGGGTAGAGATTTCAAAACAGAATTGTAGATGCATGACAAGTTGTTTTAGTCCACCACCCCCTATTTAGTGAGGGGTGTTCTATTTTTACAAAAATAGCTTCCTTAACTCCTCTCTCAAACCAGCGATGTTCTCTGGAGAGGATCTGGACTTCACTGTCCTCAAAAGAATGTCCTTTGTCCTTCAGGTGGAGGTGGACTGCTGACTCTGGTCCACTGGAGTTGGCCCTCCTGTGTTGGGCCATGCGTTTGTGCAGTGGCTGCTTAGTTTCACAAATGTACAAGTCTTTACGCTCCTGACTACATTTAATTGTATAGACCGCATCACCCTGTTTGTGTCTGGGTGTTTTGTCCTTGTGATATTGTGGTTGCGGAAGATCCTTTATAACTTCTCTGATAAACCAGCCAGTCTGGATGTTGGTATACTTGGCATACTTGCTTTGGTGAACGCCCACTTAGGGTATCCACAGGCCTTAAGGGAGTTCTGGATGTGTAGTTTCTCCTTCTTGGTCCCTTCTGCAGTTGTGGGCACTTCCTCTGCCCTGTGATTTAGAGTTCTGATGACTCCCAGTTTGTGTTGAAGTGGATGGTGTGAGTCAAAAAGGAGGTATTGGTCCGTGTGTGTAGGTTTCCAATATACAGTGCCTTGCAAAAGTATTCATACCCCTTGAACTTTTCCACATTTTGTCACGTTACAACCACAAACTTAAATGTATTTTATTGTGATTTTATAGACCAACACAAAATATCGCCTAACTGTGAAGTGGAAGGAAAATTATATGTGGTGTTCAAGATTTTTTACAAATAAAAATCTGAAAAGTGTGGCATGCATATGTATTCATCCTCCCTGAGTCAATACTGTTCACCACATATCATTTGCATCAACTGGAAATGCTCAAGTATGTTATTCAGAAGCTGTTCAGTATAGTAAGTAAATGTAGCCTACTTCCACTGCTGCTCATGGAAACCAACAATAAAGTGGTTATATCATTTGTTTATTAGGCCTATTATGACAAAGGAAATATAAGTAACAAAGTGAATACTAGGCTTTGCCATCACCACGATAATCATATACACACACAAAGTCAGCTGCAGGTAACATCATAAAGCCAAAGTCAACATTCAGCAGCAATAGACAAACAAATTAATTATCCTGAAGAGTTCAAGCAGGTAATTTAATGGTTTTGGAGTTCACAGTAGGAAACATAAAGCTGAAGAAGTGTATGTCATCATCTCCTTAGACTTAACTCCCTTTCATTCTCATTGGGCACCATCAGATTATACACTGAGAAATGGGCATCATCTCCTATATCCTGGAAGAAATACTCTTCACTTTCACAGCTCTGGGTTCCATTTACACAGTCTTTGGCTTTGATTTGTTTCATCTCAGTGCTGTCATTGGCATCACAATCCTCTGTGCTCTCACTAGAATCACTCGTCTCCTCAGTCCCGCTGCTTTCACTGCTGGTGCTCTCACTGCTCTCACTGCTCTCACTGCTGACAGCTGTAACCGCAGTAATGTCACTGGAGTCTGAGCTGTCGCTCGTAGTGTCACTGCTGTCAGAGGGGCTCTCTGCTTTTGGCAGGTTCGTGCGTCCCTGAAGAGTAATCGTCCACTGTTTGAAAGTGTTGCCGGTTGAGGTGGGAGTGGGTTGTTTCTCAGTCAGCTCGATGTTCAGGTGTTGACCTTTGACCTCTGTGCTGCTGTTGTCCTCTGCACTCAGGACTTTGACAGCACTTGCAAACACTTGAGCCCAACTCTGGATAAACAGAGCATGAAGTTACTCAACTGTATCTCAGCAGGATATAGTTTTAAATCAAGTGAGGGTACAAATGTTTATCCCACCTTTCGAACATTCTCCTCACTTCCCATACTGTTATCTCTGGTTTCAACTATGGGTTGTGAGTCTGTCTGTGAAAAGATAATGAATGATAAATTACATCAGAATAATGCAGACAGTATACATCAAGAGCTGGCAAATACATGAGGTTTAATCAGATATTTTATTTAATTTATTCATACCTGATCATCCTCAACTGATTGATCGTTACTCTCCACTGATGTCTGTTTTTTGGAAAGACATATACCATTAAAGAAAATAATGCAATGTTTTATTTCACAAAAGTTAAACAGTGCAGCAAAAACAAACATTTTTTATTTGGTTTCATTAACTATTATGTTTCTTTGCACTAAAACATTTTCTTTTTCTTTACATTTTACACTTTTACCCCAACAGCTTTTAAAATTTGATGGATCTGAGGCTATAAATCAATAACATGCTTAATGTACTATTGTAACATAACGACAGTAAAGCATATAAAGTAAGAGAGTGCTGGTACAACTGACCTTGTCCTCTGATAGTGATTCTAATGATTCAGACTCTGAACTCTGGAAGAAAGGCATACATTTGTTAAGGTAAATTCGGACATACTTAGTACATCATTAGCTTAATTAAGATGGATTCAGATAATATTTTTCTTCTGTCAGATAGAAGACATGAATCAAAATGACTCACTTGATCTGAGGTATTTTCTTCAGAGCTCTGCAACATATCCATACACAAACATCCATTCAGGTGAAATGAGCGCTCAGAAGTGACAAAAACGTCTTCTAGTTCAAAATATATTAATCATTCAGTCATTACTGGCATAATTGTTTACAGTACCTGAAGCTCTGATGTGTCATTTTCAGACGATTGTGAAAGAGACGAACTTTCACTCTGGGAAACAAAAGCAAAGTTAACACACCTCACAATATATTTAATTACGCAGTTTAACTACAGCATCAACAATCATTTACTATAAGATCTGTTGGCCACCGCCCAGGCAAGCTATTGCTGTAAATGGGTGCAAACATACTGTAGGCTTCCAGTATAAACAATAGTTTCTGAAATGGGAATTGTCTTGAGGACTGGAGAACCTTTGAAGAACAGCACCTATTGTTAGTTCTTCTGCTCATTGTGTCAGATGAATACAGCTTTAGTGCAGTGAAATAATATATGGGTAAATAGTTGAGGACCACCATGAGTCAAATAAAATATAGTTTGAAGACAGGAGTTAAAATATGATGCCGCTCACCGTTTTTGAGTCAAGAGCACTTGATTCCGAAATGACATTGTATGGAATCTGTCAGAAAGGGAAAACAGGGGGTAATGAAAATGCTAGAATTATTGTCAAGATGGTAGAGGTGCACAAAATTTAATGAATTAGGAGGACTTGTTACAATCTGTGGGGGGCATACTTACTGGGTTGGCAAAAACTGCACCAATCAGGCAAAATGTTATGATAGTGACCTTCATTCTGTAACAAACATATGTCATTCATTTTGAAATTCAGCTCAAAATATTTTAATTTGAAGCAAACCAGTTTGCAAATGCAAAGAAAACCCTAAACCAAACAAGGAAATAATTCTTTCAAACACATAAAGCAATCTAAAAATACAAATGTAAAATACAGCACCTGTTTGTTGTCTGTTAGATTCGGAGCTGTGGAGAAGTTAGTGGTCCTTTAGCAGCAAACAGAAGCAGTCGGCGTCTATACTGAGCCACAGATGGAAGCTGGCAGTTGAGATTGTAAAAGCACGATGTATGGATACGTTGTAGTAACAAACTCCTACAGCCACTGTATATAAGTAATCTTAGTTAAGATGATTGCATCACTTCCTTCCGGATGTCTGTCTCTCCTTTCTAAGAACAAATTTATATTTACCTCAGGGAGTGAGCGGTGAGCAAACACTGGCATGATGATTGCATGTAAACACCACAAATATATACATGCAGACATGGATGTTTCTCACTAAATTTACTCTCCCCCAAGTGGAATATAGCTGAGCATGTGAAACCACTGGGCTTGTGGCATGTTAAAAAAACAAAGTCACCCACTCAGAGAGGACAGGAGGGCCAGACAGAGCCGTGCTTGTTTCCGGTGAAGTGGGTGTGTTTTTTCTTCCCATTTAGCTTACCAGTAGCTGATTTTTATTTATTGTCTAATAATGAAATCAAAGAAACCTGTGAGAGAAAGTGCCTTGCTCAAAGGTAGATTTAAAGTACTTGTCTAGACAAAGAAATATGGAGAACATGAACCTTAAGATGTTAAAGAGGGCTAACCCTGTGATAACTTTACATTAAGGAAAACTGAAACCATGTTTTACAATGTCTCATTCTCATGTTATACGATTTTATTGGAAATTAGTACCTGGAAACTGTGAAACTACAGAAGAAAGCCTAAATAAATTTTTCTGTATTTCCTCTCTAAGGTCCATGGTTGTTCCTGGACATACTTATATGGTCAGGCCTAAAATAAGATTACTGAATTCTTTGTTTGTCTTCACTTTGGATTTCAACCACACAGATTAAACATGTAATTAGACGGGATGTTCCCCAGCCTGGAGCTGTTTGCCAAACCCACAGCCATTGTAAGGTCCCGCTTTAGTAAGGGGAGGAGTGAGGAGACGATGATTGGTGCTTGTTGAGACACACACGCTGTGGACAATGTCTGCACTTCACTCTAAGGATACTTAAGTTTTTATGATGCATTAACCCTTTCAGCTGGGGTGTCACAGCATGTGAGACACCAGCTTAATTGATGTATTTTAACAACCAGTTGGCACAGCTGATGATCTTTGGCACTGAGCTCCTGATGATGGTTTTAAAGTAAAAATGAATAAAAGGAGTAATGAAAAAAGACAAATCTTACTAATGTGAATTAATATGTTACAAATCTGCCTGTTGTCATGACCAGCAGATAAAAATATATATTTTATTCTCTAAAAGTTACCACTGACAAATATTTGGCATGTTGTTAATCACAGTAGCTCTAATCATGTCAAAATATTACCACTACTTTTAGAATAGATATTGTTAGTGGCTTGAAGAACCCAGACTTGTGATAGAGGGACATCTAGTGACCAAAACTGTGCATTTCTGTCCAGAAATCACTCCATATGACATAGTCACAGTGGTTTTACAGAATAAAACACCCCCAGTGCAATAATTTGTAAAAAAAAAAAATAATAATAATTGTATATAGCTGTCTGACAGCTTTTCCTCTGCCATAATGTGTGTGAATGTATGTATGTATATATATATATATATGTACGTATTTAGAAATAGATGGTTGTCTTCTTGTTTTTTACTTGCTATTTTTCTTTTTTTTTTTGTTTCATTTGATACGCATCAGGGGCCATTGAGCTGAAGTCAACTTCCTTGTGTGCCCAACATGCTGTTATAGCAAAATAACAGATTTATATGATATTATTAACACATTTATGTGATACCATGCACTTTATGGTCTAGTACTGTGTTGTAGCACAAAGGTCTGAGTTGCTTGTGTGAAGGTCTTATGACGGATGTTTGTTAGGAACTGTGTCGGGAACAGGAGGACAAAGCGAGTCCTTGCATTCTAGATAACATAACGGGCTGAGACTAGAAGAGATTAGAGAAGGAAACAGGGTGATAACTGCAACCATCTGCGACATAGTTTATACAGGATGGAATGTAATAAATGTTGTGTGAAACTTGCTCAGGGTCAGGCTCCCTTTATGTGAAGGGTTAGACCTCTGGCCTCTGAAATACTTTATACCTATCCTTGCTAATCACTTCTTTATAATAAAATCAAAGAAGACATCATTGGTTCAAAGTCCTTTTATTCTTTCTCTCTTGAATTGGAGAAGTGGATAACAATAATAATAATTTCCACCACACATACTTGGCCATTAAATCTGATTCTAATTCTGATTTAGGTTGATTTTATTTAGTTATGAACAATCAACACACAATGCACTTGTTCAAACATTCAAAAGAGAAAATCAATATTAATTAAATTCACGTTATCACAGACTAAAGTAGACAAATTGCAACATAACAAGCTTAAATACTTTAATTAATATTTTCCTTGTGTATGAATCTACTATGTGGTTGTGTATAACAAGCAATTCCTGACTTTATTTTTCAGAAAAT